ATTATTTATTCTGAACAATCAAAATGTCAGCTGAAATGTTCTGTAGACAATTATGTGTAGGTACCTGAATAACAGAAAAATGTGAAAGCACAAAAAAGTAAAGTCACAATGTATGTATATAATATTATTTCTTTTGGGGTATGCCATACCCCCCACCACACAGTTCTTGTGACATTTTGGCACTAATACACAGGCACCTACCAGGAATATTCTCAGAATATCCAAAATCACCATCAACTACTAAGCAGCAACTGCAACTGTTGAATGGGGGTGAAACGAATATAATGGGGTGAAGAGGATCGTAGATTAGTATTTTAAATTGCTAACATACAACTGATCAATGATTATTATGGAAGAATCGGGTCAATCGGGGTTTCACTTCATTGTTATTTAGTCTGACAGTTCAAGATATTTTGAGACATCCAAATCCTTTTTTGCAGCTCAAGAAATTCATGACGATCATGTTTACCCTATCAAGGAAATTCATATCTATGACAAATCCAACATATTCATACAGAAATGTATCGTCCAAAGTATTTATTTTCCAAAACCAGTTCGATGGTTTTCCAAAAGAAACAGATGTGAAGCTAGTGAAAGAAGACCTACCAGCTCTCAAAGATGGAGGTGAGTAGAAAACATGATTTTCTTTCAGACGAGTATCCATCAATCTATGCTAATATTATAATACCTATTAATTTGTCTGATCGTTTGTTTGTTTGTATTGACTAGGCTCCGGAACTACTGGACCGATTCGAAAAATTCTATCAACATTAGAAGCCGACATTACCCCTGATCAACATAGGCTACTTTTTACCGCGGGAAAAAGCTCATTCCTACGGGAAAACGGGTAATATAGGACAACGGGTATTGCGATTTATACTTCCGTACTTATCTTGTTCACACCACTTCTAAACAGCTGAAACGATTAAGTTTAAATTTTATATCATTTCGATGGTTTCCTGGATGATTTGAAAATTGGAAGTGGTAGGTGGGGCTGCTGTCAGTACGTCAAATACTAAACGGTTTGGTCGATTGGGTTGATATTTTCAATAGGTAAAACAAAACGAAAATACAAAAGATACTGAGAGGATAACAATAGGTGTAAGTATAAAATAGTAACTGTGCCCAACATAAGCTTGTCAGGAGCAACCATACCTTTGAAGACATCCATTTCGATGCTTCGTATTACTATCAGCAATAACCTTTCTTGGGAAAATTACGTGAGATGAATTGCTAAAAGTGTATCCCAAAAACTTGGTTTTCTGTTTCGGGCCAGGAGCTATTTCACTTCCAGTCAGCTGCTTATGATCTATAAGGCACAGATCCGACCTGTCCTGGAATACTGTTCCCATATTTGGAGTGCAGCACCCAAACATACCCCGAAACTGTTGGATGCTGTCTAAAAAAGGGCGATTCATCTCGTGGGTGATGCCTCGCTCACAAACTCACTCACTTCTCTGGAACACCGTAGAGAAGTTGGCGATCTGGCTCTATTTTATAGATATTTTCATGGACGATGCTCTTCTGAAATATCAACAATTGTTCCTCCATTGGCAGTCCCCGCGAATTAACCCGTCGAGTTGAGGCTTCGCACCCCTTCGTGGTCACATTGGAGACCTGCAGAACATCTCTTTCCAAAGACTCGTTGCCATCAAGGGAGATGTGAGGCATATTACCTCCAGAAATTTAAGAAGAACACCAATTCCTACCTTATTTCCCTTGGTTCTCACGATGTTCTCTGAACATTACAGGATATTCCTTTTCGTGGGAACGAGAACATCACAGCGATATTTATTTTTCTGAATTTTATCGGACTTGCTCCACCAATACAGAAGCCGAATTGACCCACACGTGACCAACCGACCTCGTTTTTTAGGTGATAAAATCTTTGACGTTTATAACGACAATTATGTCGGAAGCCAGAATGATGGATGCAGTGTGAACAACTCTCGCGAGTCGCTCATTTACTGTCTCATTCGTGAATATTCATACGAATACAACTCCTGATACTATTTTGCCTGGAAATATTCGTCAATTGACAGCTTGCTCATGTTATTTGGCTCATGGCATTGTTCCAAAACTTCTCGCCTACGGCTCGGAAGTTTTGACAAACAATGTCATTCGGCGAAATTATTAGGCAACAAGGTGTCGTAACAGTCGCCGAATAATTCCGGCAAAATAGTATCACTTTGTAGTATTACTTATGAAAAAAACCATCATTAGATTGGTACCCCACTAAACATGATACATAACAAAAATATTTTTCAGTTATAAGTTTTGTGATATTGTTGGAATAACATTGCGATAATGTCCTTCTGAAGTATCCAACACAATATTATGAAGTAAAACGTTTATGAGACATCGCATCAATATTGACATCGATATCATTAGATAATATTGTGATATATTGATTTTAGGTTTATCAGATATATCTCAGACAAAGTTGTTATGTTATTTGTGCAACGTTCTTGTTTCACCACCTCATAACGTAGCTTACATGTATACATGATACAAGGGTATAATATTTATTTTTTCACGGCAAAGAAACCTCGTCAACTGTCAAAAGTCAATTCAATTCCATTCCAGCCATTTTGTTTGTTGTCTATTATGGTGAACAAGCCAAATAGTGTGATCAGTGAAAATATTGATTTTTAGGTATTATTCGTATAGTTATCAAAGTAAGTGAAGAACTAAACAAGTATTGGACTCAAATTCGAAACAACAATGAATTGCTCATGATAACTACCTACTTATATTCCAGGTTTGCTCTGCTGGGATATAGAAATGCAACCAATATGTATCTGCATTTCATAATATGTGAAAAAGAAGGAGGGATTCGTGAATACGGATTGTGTTAATATTTTACGAATTACAAAAATAATGGATGAGTTATATATCATAGCTAGAAGAAAAACATAGAATAGAATTTCAAAATAATTTAGAAAACTCCCAACAACTCGTATAGAAATATATTTACCTATTACTTTTCAGAATTTCAGTAAGGGATCACTGGATTATGCAGAAATCATATAGCTGGACTGACTAGATTTATGAGGCAGAAAATCTAAAATGATACTTAGGAAAATAGTGGTAAATCTGTCTCAAAATATCACTGGGTAACTATAGATCATACGTATAGTTTTTCAGGAGTTCGGTTAGATCAATTCATCTTAGGGAAAGTTCATCTTCTCTAATGTCTCTTCTGAAGATCATTCAGATGATTTTCTTGATGATTCCAGACAAAATAGACATAACCTAAAAACTCCTAGAAACTGATTAGAATGTTAATTTACAATATTGTTTAGATGTTTTGAGTAACATTAAATATACGTTATGAAGTAACATTGATTTTATGTGATTCCTGATATATTTATATAATATTTACCATCAACCATTACCATTGCAATATTTATACGAGGCACATACGTCGATTGCCGCAACGTTAATGTGATATCAAGCATATCTCTAAATAACATCACAAAGTCACATTGTAATATTACATTTATGTTTGAGTTATGTTATTATGTTAAGTGGGACCTAGGTGAATAATTTTGAATTGAAAGAACAAGATTTATCAAAAAAATATATTATTTATATAAAATGAAACACACTTATAAAAAAGTACTTGAGCCTGAAAAAGTTTTGCACAAGAAGTATATTCATCATTAGAAATACACCAGATATTATCGGGTGTGGTAAACAAGAGGTAAAGGAGTACAAGAGCTAGAAAAGAAAGCAATATTTTCTTGAAATGGTACCAACTGACAATCATTAGCTCCCATAGGTCAGGTCACAATTTGAGGAAGTAATTTCTTTACGAAGTCCGCGAAATGGCGGCTGAAAATATAGCAATGAAGTTGAAATATTAAAACATTTTCACGAATTCGGATGGAACCATAACCACACAGTATGCATTGAATGTGTTGTTGTTATTTTGATAACCTCGAAATTGGGGAATCAGGGAGCAGGCCGAGAAAACAATAGACTAAACAAACAATTACAATTATATTATTCATCATTTCTTCATTTGACTTTTTTTCCGCAGGATGGATGCTTCCATCTTAGTTTGAAGCATTTGATTGAAATCATTCCTCCTCTTTATTCTTTGATATTCCTTGAAAATAACATCAACCTACATCGGGATGAATCATAATTTTGTGTAAATTTCATTATCAGAATTATTTGATACACTCTGATCACAGAAGATGAACGTCGAATTCTGTTAGAAATTCCATATTTTGCGATTCGCATATATAAATTTTGCGGAATTCATGCAAGCATGAACATATAAAGTTGTTGACTTGTTCAGTTTCTCTCAATTCATTACAATATTAATTAATGTTCGGTATCATGTTAATTGGGCAATGAAAGAAAGTGTGTTCTAGATCCTCAAAAACGTCCACCATAAACAAAGGACGATGGTACGCCAAAATTGAAACCAACTTCCCAATGAAGCCCTGGTACTCCAAATACCTACTTTATTTTGAGGTTAGAATAGTCTTCTTCTGATTTTATAATGCATATTTGGTCTCTCCCAACTCTGGGTCAGAAGTTAGTTAGTATTTCAGTAAAATGATAAATTTGGAAGATAAAATACATCAATTGCAAGAAATTCCACAAAAAATTGTTACATAAAAAGTGCATACTCTGTACCCAATATTGGTATATTCCAGGGTCCCAAGAGAAAAAAGAACATTCTATAAAAAATAATTGAAGGTAATTTTATAAAAACATGTGCGTCAGAACAAGTTGACAAATAGGTGACAAAACAACAGAATCTTAAATGATGGCAGTTAACATTTTCCAAAGGCAAATGACATTTGAAAGATTAACGTAAAACAGTAAGTTTAAATAGGGATTTATTGAAATATGGCGCAGGTTAGAGGTAAACTCAAGCAAAAGATGGGGTAAATTAGCTATTTGGTTGATTTTCCTTAGTTATTTTAAAGGCTTTAGATGAATTCAATTACAAACTTTGTTCTTGAACAATATGTAATATTTAAAGTATTTTTGTAGCCGATACTGTATAGTTTCACAAAAAAAAACATTTTTATTCTTACATTGGATTAATCGTCATGGAATTTCTCCTCTAGTCTCAATTTTTTTTTGTGTCAATGCAGAATTCAAATAATTATTGAGCATTCACATTTTAAAAAAATCTATCTGAAACTATCATGATTTTCGAGTTTCTCACACAATTTTTGGATTACCAAGAGATCTAATTGGCATTCCAAATTGTGTAGGACTCCTCCACCCATTTGAGCGTTTTTCAAATCCTTCGTAAAGCCAAGCAAATTATCTGAGTCGTCTTCTTCTTCAATATAATCACCTAAAAATCAATATTCCACTATCATTTCTTTTGTTTATCTCTTGGAGCGCACGAAAGGTAATTCTAAGAACATCGTGCGTAGGAAGGATAGGGAGAGGAGGTAGGTATTAGATTTTTTTTTATTTTGGAGGTTATAAGTTCCTGGGAATACTTTCATTGGCAAAGAATTCTAACGAGTTTTGATAAAGGTTTGTTCGACTTATCTCAAGGTTGACAACGAATGGATGTGCTGACTGGGCTTGTCGAGTTCGTTTGACTTGTATTGATATCCATACAGAATGTCCCAGATATGGGGAAGTTCCTTTTATTCTGATGTTCATTTATTCGTGAATTTTATAACAAAATCATTATACAGGGTATCCCAATTTGGGCACTTTTATGGGGTATCTCCCTTATCAGTAAAGATAGAGCATTGCGGTTTTCGCGACGGTGTGCTACTTTTTTATGAATTACAATACAATTATTTTCAAAAACAAGCTCAGAATTTCAGATTTTCAAAAATTTTCTTCTGTGTCTAATTATAATAGGTAGGCTATGGCTAATTTGTTTGGAACAAAAAGCAAAATGTCAAAAACTTCACGCGCTATTGTCAGTTTCTGATTATTAGTGAAATATTTTTGCTGTTTTGGTACCTATTTCTAATTCCCGATACAAAATATTTAATTTATTTTACAACAATGGCGGTTTACGATATTAATGAAAAGTATGATATAATGGTTTGTTTTATACAATCTAATGAAAATCCGCAAGTGAACCACTCTGCTGACAGATGGCACTACCTGACATGGTGGAGTGGATTTTTCCACCGACCTATTCAACTGTCAGCAGTACTTGTAGTACCACTCTGTAGCGTATAGACGTAAGGGTCTGTACGTGTGACTATAGATGGCAGAGTCATACAGTGTGTGTCGCGATCTCTGGATCCTACCTTAGAGCTTTGCCACTAGATGGCCACAACATGACTATAAATTCATGGTATACCTTGCGTCTTCGAAATACCCGAAGCGTAGAGTTGTCCCAGTTGTCAGCAGACCGAGAGCGGCTGATAGGACCTAGTGGGTCGAAACAGTACTGTCCTGCTCCTGCTGACAATTGGGGCAGCTCTGTTCATCCTGGATCTCTTAGTTATGAGATCTAGCAATTACGATTCAGTATAATAGTAATTTTCCAAACAAGTGCGGAAAGTGATACTTTCCCGCACGCGAATGCCGTTGACCCGAACGACTCGAAGCGGGCAAGCAGTATTCTGCATCAGGTGGCATTATAGAGATAACCAGGCGAATAAGTATGTCCTCTGGAGAATGTGAAGGCCTTCAAGAACAGAGAGGTTCTTGTAAAGTTTAAAAAAATTCCAACACCTACCTCCTCTCCCTATCCTCCAGAGGAATGCACGATGTTCTGAGAACATCATAGGAATTTCATTTCGTACGCTCCAAGGGATAAAAAAAGGTGGAGAAATTATGTATGAGAGGGTGATGGTGCTTCTGTGAATAGGAGTTTAGGAAAACCTTGTAAATAACATTCCAACTAGAGTGGGACTCGATAGAGTTGATGATATGATAGTTGAAAATCTTGCAAAAGTGAAACAAAGATGCATGAAGTGAAAAAGTCGAACATTATTCATAATATGTGTTAAATGTCAAATACATCTAAACAAAGATTGCTTCAGAATCTATCAAGGATAAAATAATTTAATTAAAAAAATCAACTACTTACCAGTTCAAGCCTATGTTGTCATATGAATATATGTCATTTTTGGTGATATATTTTTTGACCTTGGAAGATTTTTTCGAATGTTGGATAATGAATACATTTTCAGAAAAAAATTGTCCAATAACTGTTTTTTTCGATAAGGCCGTAAATGGGGTAAAATGATTCGCATTGCTGGTGTTGTTGATGTAAATACTTGTGGTAACTTAAAATAAACGCGCTTTTTTGAAAGTTCGTCTGTTGAACGGGCGAAACTTTGTAATTCTATGCCAATATGCCAATGAAAGTATTCCCATGAACTTATAACCTCTAAAAGTTTTTAAAAAATCCATAACCTACCTCCTCTCCCTATTCTTCCTAGGAATTATAGAAATCCCCTTTCGTACGCTCCAAAATATGAAAAAAACACTGAGGAAATTTTTAAATAATCAAAATAGGGTACCAATGAAAAAAAAACAGTTTCTTACCTTTGCCGTTCAAACTTTCCAAGAAATCTTTGACAGACTTATGACCGTTTTGATGCGCCATCGGAGTCAAAATACCGGTCGGCCTTTTTCCTTCCTTAGCTCTACAAAAAGAACAGTTGCATATCCCCCTACAAACTGGACAGTGCCAATTGGGGTCTTTCAATGCCTCAGCGGCATTTTCACCGTATCTAAAATGGAAAATATTGGAGGCTATATTCCGAATTCAATGGGGAAGTTTCTGAAATTGAGGTTTTCATCTCATTGTGAAGTTTGAGAAAGTTTCCTACAGGGTGGGGTTTTCATCTCATTGTGAAGTTTGAGAAAGTTTCCTACAGGGTGAGTCATGACTAACCATAGTCCAATAAATGAAGGAGGAAAAAAAGGCAAAGTTAACGTTAATTACGCACTATTTTCATCTTCCGGTTGAAAGTAGCTTTTGGTACCTCATTAAACATGAGACAAAGTTTGACTGGAAAACGCGTGCGATGGCGGAGAAAATGGCCCCAAAAGATCAGGAAAATAGGTTTTCAGCCAATATCTCCTAAAATATGGCAGTTAGAGATTTTCGGTTCAGATAAAAATCAAAGTTCAGTTAATTTTCTACAAGAATGGTCCTCATCATTTTTCTCGAAAATTTGTCCGGTTTCGAGAAAAACGGCACGAAGCGCACCTCGAATAATGAGCTTCTGTGTTGTATGCCGGAGAGCACAGTCCGTGTATTTACACATCGGCGGGGGGACAAATTATTCAATAACTTCGTTAAAAATGCATATTTTCTCATGATTCAAAGTTCATGTGAAAGAGGAATTCTGCGTGGCCGCATGGTTTGTAGCAGACGACCCGAGCGCCACGTAGAGCACACACGCGGCGAACGACGGAGGAACGAAAGTAATAAATTATAGCGTGTACATTTAGATATACTGTTTTTTTTTTCGGGATATCAAAGGTATGACTTATATACATCGATGGAAAGGTGAGAATTCCCCCGTTACACTAGTTAAGGTGTTAAAATGTTAGAAATGAAGAGCACGGAGAAAAAAAAACACCGAAAAAAAGTGCGTTTTTTCCTTGACCCCGCTTTTTCTAATTTTATTGAAAAATGGACGACTTCTTCTAAAAAGTAATTGCACAATCGAAAAGTAGTCCTTCTTAGCTTTCAAATGATGTACCATAGAAACCAATCGGATCATGTATAAATTTTTAATTGATGGTTGTTCACAACATTTCCCCGCGCTCCAAAAACAGCAAAAAATTGGGATTCAATAAACAAAGATTAAATGAAAATTTTAAAAAATTAGAGTATACAAATTTCAGGGATGACAAAGGACCTTATGAGGACCCATAATCAAGAGAATTTTGAGTAAATTAGTGCAATACGAAAAAATAGGAACAAATTCCTGGCGAGGTCAGAATTGACCAAGAGCAGAATGTTTGACCCATGTTCCGATATGGCCAAAAGAGTCAAGCGTGACTCAATTCACAGGGTATGATAGCAGCAGAATTCCTCTATCACATGAACTTTGAATCATGAGAAAATATGCATTTTTAACAAAGTTATTGAATAATTTGTCCCTCCGCCGATGTGTAAATACACGGACTGTGCTCTCCGGCATACAACACAGAAGCTCATTCTTCGAGGTGCGCTTCGTGTCGTTTTTCTCGAAACCGGGCAAATTTTCGAGAAAAATGATAGAGACCATTTTTGTAGAAAATTAACTGAACTTCAATTTTTATCTGAACCGAAAATCTCTAACTGCCATATCTTAGGAGATATTGGCTGAAAACCTATTCTTCTGGTCTTTTGGGTCCATTTTCTCCGCCATCGCACGCGTTTTCCAGTCAAATTTTGTCTCATGTTTAATGAGGTACCAAAAGCTACTTCCAACCGGAAGATGAGAATAGTGCGTAATTAATGTTAACTTTTTCCCTTTATTTATTGGACTACCAGCCAAAGCCAACGGCGGATAGAAGTCGAGGTGAGTTGATATATATGTGAAAAAATAGTTTTTGCCTATTCGTAGCAGAAATACAGGGCGTTACTTCACTGGCGGATCTGAGGGGGGGGGCCATGGGGGCCATGGCCCCCCCCAGAGCTCTGAATAAGTGGTTGATATTGGTTCAACAATCAGTCTGGATATGCAACCAAAGCTACGTTATACAAACCAAAATTATTCGTATTCGTAGTTTTCGTATTGAATGGTTCCTCAAACACTCGAACATGCCAAATCAACTCTTTTTTGAATTTCATTCATTATCATATACAAATATTATATAGAAATATTCTTGTATGCAGTGGGAATATGGGAAAACGACACAGGCGTTCAGATCAAAGGGCGGCAAAACAGATAACGATAGAGGAAAAATAATTATTTTCAAGGCCGGGGCTTCAGTAAAATGCAAATTAGCGGTAAGCGGTGACCAGTGGCGGTGAGCGGCAAGAATCAAAAACAAAGGGAATAACTGAAATAAGTAGTTGTTTTTTATCCGAAACCGCAAAAAACACCAATTGGTTTCGAAAGAAAAGGGTGAAAAGGGTCATTTCACACTTTAATTACATCATTTCTTGAAATTTTCATTACACTTCCGATCAGTGTTGCCTCATCAGAAAGAAGTTTTTCTTCGTTGAGGCGGATAAAAAGTTGGCTCAGATCTACTATTTCGGAAGATAGGCTATCTGGTTTAGCTATTATTAACGCTCATCCGGACATTGAGTTATCAACAGATTTGCCAACAGTGGCCATAGGCATGTAGATTTTGTTTTATGAACATAATTCAATAAGCTTATGTTTTATGCGTTTAATTATGAGGTTTACTTATCAGTTAAATTGTGGATTTGTGTTTTTGTTTGTTTAGTCACATTTTTATCCATCACATTTATGTTATCCTGGAGTGAGCTCCGACCACCCGAGGTGGTGCTGTAGGTTTTTCCGGATTTTCCTGCAGCTGAAAAGTGAATACTCCACCAAAAATCAGTGAGTGGCCACGGAGCGCCACGGCAAATAAAAGTAATATCCATCCTCTACCCGCATCTCTTTTCTGGAGATTTGAAACACATTATACTTTGGTCTTTTCAGATGTTTTTTCTACTCTGCTGTCCCTGAACATTTTCATACCAAAACCATTCCCTGTGCAAAGTTTCACCCTAAACGAAAGTGATGAAGTTAAAACCATGGGCTTTGTGCTATATATATATATATATATATATATTCATATACATATCATTCATTATTCATGTGGTTTCAATTACTTTGGTTTCAAAATTCCATTAACTCACGGCCCATGGCCCCCCCCCTGAAAAACTGCCTAGATCCGCCACTGCGTTACTTGTATTCGGAGCGACAATTCGATGAACGATATTTCAGCAACATCCCCATGTTATCGCCTGAAATTCATCAGCAACTTACCTCTACAGACACTCCATAAGATGACCTACTATGGAAAAAAATTCCAGTGCCGGACTCGGAAAATTAATTTTCGTTATAAATGTCATAATTTATTTCGACTTTCTGGATCGTATTTTTGGAAAACTCTCATAAGAATCAGAAAGATCAGGAAAAACACAAGTGTAGCTTTTCATTTTGTACGGCACACTTCGACCAAATCGTTAAAAAAATATCTAATAAAATACCGATGAACGTTTCCATGATTTCGTACGAGTATATTGTAGTCAAATTCATTTAAATCCATTTCTTACATATAGGTGTATCATAAGAGTTGGGAAGATGCTCTATTCGATGAAAAAATTCAGGACCGGACTTGATTTTCTGGAAGAGACCTTTGAAATATGGACATAAATAATTTCCAATTGAAATCTGCTTCTACATGTGGAAATGTGGAAACATTGTACTCAATATGAGGAATTATCACTAGGGTGAAAGATTTACATCCAAATCAGATATATGTGCCTACTCATACTACATAGAGGACCTTTTGAAGAACTATTGAATATGATCTCATTGCATGTGAACTCTCTCAATCATCGAATTTAATTGTGAGTTTGGTGTTTTCACGATTTAGAAAGCACTGAAAAAAAAAGGCGTGATGGATGTAAGCAAATGGATTGAAATAGGTATTCCATTTCAACAGGATGGGGCACCTCCACATTACTCAATACAAGTTAGAGAATACCTAGACAACCAATTCTCTAATCTGGATAGGTCGTGGAGGCCATCATTTTTGGCCTTCTAGGTCTCCTAACAGTATCAGACTATTATAGTACTATTTATAGTACCTGCGTAGTTTTTTTAGTTCAAGTTTTCTAAGTTAGCTCAAAGTCTTTGTGTTTTGAAGCACTATCTCTTATATGTAAATACTCCTTGCTGTGTTTGTAAGAGAGAAATCTTAAATAAATTATCTATGGAGACATATGAAACGATTGGTATATCAGATTGAAGTCAACACCAGAGAGGAACTGAAAATGTCCAGAAATTAGAGAAGGATATTTCGAGAATCTTCGTTAAAGATTGTTAAGGTATAGACAAAGCTTTTTCGAAAATTATAATTGTTTTGTAGTTTTTTTCTAAAAATCAAGTCTGGTCCTGAGTTTTTTATCGAAAAAAACCTTTTCTATAAAAAAAATGAATTTCTCAAGTCCGTCTTTGGGATTTTTTCCATAGTAGGCCATCTTATGGAGTGTTAGTAGGGGTGGGTTGCTGGTTGCTGGTCATTTTCAGACGATAACATTGATACATTCGTGTGAAATATCGTTCGTCAAAGATTCGCCCCGAATTCAAATAATGTCCTGTATTTCTGTTACGAATAGGCAAAATATATTTTTTTACACATAAATATCAACTCACCTTGACTTCATCTATCCGCCATTAGGCTATGGCTAGTTAGTTATGACCCACCCTGTATACAGCCTGTCCCGCTTTTCATGAATGCACCCTAATATCTCAGTTATTAAGGATGCGATTTTCTTGACATGTTGGTGGTGATTGTATGTTAGAACAATGAAGTATTTAGCATAGTGAACAGTTGCATTTACCATAGGCGTGCGATGTTGAGGGGTACAAAAAAGGCATTTATTCGGGAAAAGGATATTAGGGCTCATTTCAATTTATTTCAAATACGAACAAGCAGACATTCTGGCACGAAAAGGAACATCAACTGATCGGACCAGAACCATTCTGCGGCATTAGAAATTCTTATTTCCAAGAAGAACTTAATGAAGCTGAAGAAGCAATGAGAGTAACACAATTTTTACAGTGACAGATAGCATTTATGTCATTTTTCTTCATCTTGTGTTGTCAGAAAATTATAAATCTTTGGAAACATCGTGATTTGAAGTCTTCTAGTGGAAAAAATTGAAATCCATCAACAATTATGTGATTAAGGCATTCATCTCGGCATTCATTGAACTGTCTTACCGACCTACACTCAAGCATTTATTTGGGTTGAAATTAACCCAACATTCATATATCGAGTTTTGTTGTTATTAGGAAATTAACTCAAAAAAAGTCAATTTCTTCCGTTTGATTTTCAGGCAACAGAATTCTCATTGAAATGTTTACCTTGGCAAAAATAAGCTGTGATGCATTGATAAATGATAAATAACCACAAAATTAAGACATCCAGCATCAGTCTGGCACTTCCAACTCACGCAGTTTGTGTTTCAATAGTGGTAAAGAAAAATCGTCAGACGAGTGGAAAGTGAGTGCCAAAACGGGTTGAAGTTGTCAGTTGGCAGAGTGTCGGTAAAGATCACTCCCACCCCTCCATTTCTCTGGCAGACATTGCAAAAACGGCAAAAAAGATTTACGCCAGAACGTCGGAAAGTATTGAAAACGTGAAACAACGCCAAGAAATTGTGAGGTATGTCAGAATCGTCTGTAATTTCTTGGTGAACGCTGGTAAACATTTTTTCTACAAACTTTTAAACAGTAATACTGGATAATACTATCATTTCAATTTCAATTTCAATTTACAGAATTACAGAAGTTTGAACAAGCCAGATATTTTCAGGTTTTTTGTTCATTCATGGGTTCATATTGAGGTTTATATGAACCTTGGACATTGAGTAGAAAAAAATCTCACTAGGTATATCTACAGCTGTAATAGGCAACTATATTTTTATTTAGTTTAAAAAAAATCAAGTCAAAACAAAGAATCATCCAAAAAATTAGCAAGCAACAGCCAACTACATTTCCATTTTGTTATGCCAAAAAATTAGAGAACAAACTCAACAACAAATGTATTTCTGAAAGGAAATTTGAAATTATCATGAGTTGATTCGAAATATGCTCGGAAATATGCTTGATAACAGTGCATTCTGTCAAAACAAAATAAAATTGTCTTCTACTTTCAATGTATTGAAAAGTGAATAAGTTCCAGACAAAAATATTTAGCAATTTTTCAGCAAGTGGCCCATCTTTCACTGAGTTTTCACATTGATTTTCCACTTGGTTTTACATGAAATTTTACCTGCCTGACTTTCTTCTGTAAAATAATATCCACTGGATCTTGTGAGGCAATAACCTCTATCTTTAGAAGGAAGCACTTTATATCATATTTATACAGGGTTATCCGAATTGAGTGGTAACTTCATTATCAAAAATAGTACATTGCTTGAATCAACAACTAGCAGAGCAAGTCTCTTTTGAATATAGGCACAAAAAAACAAATGGGCAGTGTTCTCAGAACATTTTTTACATAAACATCTTTGTCCTTTATATTATTTGATACATTATAAGTAACATAAAACTTTCTAGTTTTCAATGAATAAAAACAAAAGGAAATGTCTTTTATTGAAAAATAATTATAGTTTGGTGATTGCTTCAATAATAAGAAAGTTACCAAGTTCTGCAGACACTTGCCTTTGATAACCTTGTACCTCAGCCTGTAACCTGTACCTACTTATAAAATATTACATATTTTGGTAATTTTGCACTTATCATGTGATGGGTTTTTTTTCCAAAAATTTTTTGGTACTTATGTATTTTTGTCTGAAAAACACGAATTTGATAATGAAAATGTGAACAAACCATTATTTATTAGGATATTTTCACTATAAAGTTACAAATTTCACCTTCTTTTCCACCTGTCTTCTGGATCGAATTTGGAACAATTTGCCCTTCTTTTTCCATCATTGGACAATTTATATATATCACACAATGTTGAATGATGAAATATGATTTTCTTGTGATTTATCCATGTTTAGTGAAAAGAAGGAAGAATATCATTTGAAATAATGGCGTGTGTAATGTCATTCCAAAGCAATCTATTGACATTTGACAACTGGTATTTGGATTGCCTATGGATTAAATGGTGGTCATCTGGTATATGCTTCATATGCTTGCTCACTCAATAGGAAAAACTCACTATAAAAATCATATTTCCTGTTGAATTTTCCATCTTAAAATGTGTCATTGAAGTACATCATGAGTATATAAAGTGTCTAATGACAAAATAAAAAGAGCAAGTACCTGTAAATGCATCCAACACAAGGGGGAAAAGAAGGCAAAATTTCGAACTTTTTCTTGGAATATCTTGATAAATAGTGGTTTGTTCACATTTTCATTATCAAATTCTTTTTTTTAGACAAAAATATGTAGGTACCAAAAAAAATTTTTGAAAAAAAAAACCATCACATGATAAGTGCAAAATTACCCATATTTTGCCAAGATTATGGAGAAAATTACTCTGGTGATATAACCTGTTCAACTTCTGGATAACCTTTGCAAATTGACTATGAAGTGGAATCTTCATAAAAATGCATGGATCAAATAAATAAATATAATTGAATTGAGCTGTTATTACTCACCTATTGAACAAACAAACTCCACAAAACTGCCCTCTAATACCAACACATTCATTTCTCCTGCAACATGTTTTCTGATCTAGTTTTTTGTCTACATTGATGACAACTAGATCCCATAGCAGAGTATTGCTTGATGGAAACCCTCATAGCAATTTTACTTATCATTGCTTCTGTCACCTCTTCCACAGGAATGATTGGAGGCCTCTGAGTGGTTCTCCTCTTATTATTAATTCTAGGTTTCTTTGGCCTATAAACAACATCTTCAAGATCCCTGTAATCATAATCATCCATGTCATCATATTTCTTTCTTTTGAAGGTTGTTTCATCAACCAAGTCATCTTTAGTGTAAATGGGTTCTTTATCTAGTAGCCTTAATGATCTTCGAGTTTCTACAGGTATGGTGATGTTTCCAAAATATGTGAAACCTGTATCTCCATGTGATCTTCTTATTTTGGGTTTGTATGATGGTTTAGAGCTGGTGTTTCCTTTATTATTGAAAATTCCAATGGCGTCTATGGCTTCTGCGAAATCGGGGTCATTCATGAACGATTTGAGGAATTCATCCCTTTCTTTGATATTGTTTTCTCTTTGGATTTCTGCTTCACTCTTGAGTCTTGGTGTGACAGGTTCAAAGAATTCTGTGGGATTCGATTTCGGAGATGTATCAGTCATTTTTGCACCATAAAAAAGTTTTAAGAAATAATCACATCAATGTTGTTATCAACTGAGATGCTCAAATTGGAAGGTTTGTGTTTGCAATCCTATTCTGGTTGAGTTTGCTTGGATTAATATAAATAGGTACACACATTTCTCAACAAAATTCTCTCAAATCATCATCACTTCCATTGAAGTGAATTCATTATTTCTGTATCGCAGTTCATGAACAAGAGATTCAAACAGGCAGAAACCAAATTACCATTCGTCTGATTTGAGTATTTTGATCAAAAGTTTTGAGATTTGAATTTGAAGTTTTGAGGTTAGTGTTTAGTAGAACGCACAGACACAGAACACATAAAACACAACACATCAAAGATTTCAATGAAAATGCTTGGTATGCCGACCGGCCGGTCAGCAGATTACCTTTCTACGAACGTCTTAGGGTAGGATCGTAAAAAGGTGTTGGCTTCATTATTTTGATACCAGACCGACATCAGTGAATTATTATCATGACACCCAGAGATACCGGAGGTCAACGAATCTATTAGACAAGTCATAATATCTAGAACTTTGAATAGAACACCCTTTAGTCCCCGAATATTGAAATTTCCTTTCGATTTCTAAGACAATTGCAGATCCGAGTGTGATATTTTCGAAAGTTTTCACGCCATGTGAAGAAATCTAATTTCAAAAGATAGATGCTTTTTCGATAATGTGATCTGAAAATATACATATATTCAATAATTTGTCCAAATTACTGACCTGAATATATGGAATACATAGAAAACGATGTTGGTCTGAGACTGCGACAATCAACAATATTCATATATCTATATCAACCAACTGCACTAGCTATTACTAGGGTCCCTTGATGCAAAGTGACGTATTTGTTATCTAAACAAGTCAACTGGATGTTCTCATCAGTTATGCAAGATCTGGTCCAAGAGGGACCAAGAAAAATTCAAATTCAAGAATAATTCGTACGTCCCTGGGACATCCTATGGACATCCAATTGATATCTCTCAGAGTTGCTGAGGATTTAGGTTTTCGATAGTTGTCTCAGGTAGATTCCTCAAGGACGTCCCTAGTTGGTCCACGGTACCAAATTCGAACGTCCTATGGACGTCCTGAATGTCCCGACAGGACGTCCTAAGGATATACATGGGACATTATTGTGTAATTAGGGTTGGATATTCCAGAGGCACGACATATATATTCTAGGAATATTTGATGGATGTTCGGAATATACCCTTCTCCCTCAACATATTTAGAGAATTCTAAGAATATCTAGTGCTGTCTGGGCTGATGGATTATAGGTGAACGATTTCAATATCACAATTTGTCACTATACTGGTCCAGTGCTGGCTGGATTATAAATGAACGATTACAATATGACATACAATAATGGACCGACAGAGCACTCTGTCGACTGATCATGCATTATTATTGGGCCAGAAGGCGGCCAGATATTCAATGTTTGCTGGGGCTCTTCAATTCCTCTTCAAAAATGTCTACTATTTTGTCAAATGATCAAAGAAAACGCATAGCACTGTTGTTTGCTAGCCCTCATCTTTTGCTTCCATATATACATTATTTGGACATTCATTTGTTGCAGAATTCCTAACAGAAGCTGTTTATTTGAGCGTTGATCCGTATATGAGAGCTTACGCGCCGAGGGTAAAAACTGGTAAAACATTTATGGGATCTCAAGTTGCAAAGTGAGTAAATGAATAAGATACATCAATATCTCCTTTGAATATCAGCTGGATATATTTCATGATATATGTGATTTTTCACGAAAGAATATAGATATAATAGCTGTTCTTCTTGTAATACAGAATATCCATGATGTATATAGTATATTTATATTCACGATGGAAAATGAGCGTACGCCACTTGGCGGGATTGTTGAAAGCTGTCAAAGTGATTTGTTGACACTATTTTCATTGGATCACAAAGGTGCTCACATATGTTTTTCATTTAGTTTTGCTCATTGGTCACATACATAATGATCGACAATGGTAGATTTCGGGAGAAAAACCACTACTTTCCCGGCTGATGCCCACATAAAACATTGAATCATATCCTCCCAAAATCTATGCATCGACTCGTATAAACGAGTATACTGATACAAGTGTTTCTTTCCTTCTTTTTTACTCAGATGGCGTTAGTCTCATATTGTTTATGAAGGGCGCCTGTGAGGAAATATAATGCCGACTTGATTTTTGTTTGGGTAGGCTACGCATAGTCGGCGGTCTTAGGACTGCTGGCTGGAGAGTGGGTTATTGGGATTTCGTTAGTGTCAGTTTGTACTGAATCTTGGTAGCAAAATGTAATAGAATGTAATAGATTTGAAACAATGCGCGGCAAATTTGAATCTCCCTATTATAATTTTACAATAGGAGATTCTTTGGTTACAATGTATACCGTAGAATTTTGGACTGTCTAGGAAAAATGAAGGAAAAATAAAAAACAACACAGACTCAATTCCACAATAAATAAAAACTGAGAATAAAATAGGAACTGAAAAAGCTAAATGAATCAACTCAGTCTCATGCACAAAACGTTTAGCTTCTATATGACAAGATGAATAGGTATTCTATTTTCAACTAATAACATTGTATTTCTAGTGAGAATAACTTTTTGGGATTTTGAATTTCATATATAAGGACAAAATATAGATACATGGATAATAGCCGAGCGAAAAATGTGAATAATGAAAATCTCAAATCATCATGATCTCCAAAAACAGAATAACATATATTTTACTTTCATTATTCCAGATTTTCTGGGATTTTCTCTCCTCGTTTCTATAAGATGGAAATAACCTACAGACAGTATTTATATTTTACTCGTTCATTTTTTCATACCTCGCTTTGAGTCGTCACCAAATGAAATCGGTATTATCAGAATATTAGGCTAGTTATTATGTCTTGGTTTTTAGTTTCGGAATTGTGAAAATCCTTCATAAGAAAATCGACAAAACTATTATAAGAAGAAATAAACTCAGTTACAGAACACAAAACACAAGTTTGAAAAAATTACCCCACTAACGTTGCCGTTTTATCCTGACGTTGCCCTCAAACTTGAATTATTACCTCCAGTCAAAGTGTAATAGATATTGGCTGTTTTCGTCAATGTAGTAATACCGTAATAACTGAGACGCGATTGTAATAAAAATATTACAATTGTAACAACAATCCCAAGCCAAAAAGAAAAGGAGACTGCCCTACACTGATGAGAGTCGAAGAGCTCAAAACCGGTCTGTAGGTGTCTAGCGTGGCCTGGCTAAATCGAAATGGATAAGCATTCAGAAAAGAATCACTTGTATCAGTATTCGTTCATATGAGTCGATGCATAGATTTCGGGAGCAAGTATTTCTATGTTCTCTGCGTGGCATTAGCTAGGAAAGTAGTTGTTTTTCTCTCGAAATCTACCATTGTTGTTCATTTTGTGAACATTGTGTGGAAATGAGTGTGAGCTATTTATATTTATTCATTATTTCATTTCACTTCGAGCATTGTGGCTATTCCGTAGTTTGATTTTCAAGTTGTTGCCTCAAGGTATGGCGACTTGTTATTTTCTAGTATATACAGTGTTATTCATAAAGTCGGCATCATATGGGAAAAACTTTTATTGATGACTTATTTTGAAATTCGAGTTGGACGTTAAGTTTTGCTTCAAAAAAGATTGGAAGTGGCCCACTCAATCGGGGTCACGTGACTTTCGCTACATGTCAAAAGTGACATTTTTTCAAATTAATCGCTGAAAGTAGGTTTATTTGTTCGAATATCGAAAAAGTTTACTTGAAAAAGTTGTTTCTATTTAAATTTTACATATGTGACTCGGATTTCATCTTTCTAATACATTTTTTAGATTTCGATATTTTTTAAAAATTTTCGAAATTTCTGTAATATTAAAAAAAAATTAAATTCGATGAAACTACTTCATACCAGTAATTTCATCATGCTACTAACTTTCAATTACTGATTATCACTAATTATCGACAAAAATTTGATTTTCTTCAGAAAATGATAATCTCCGCTTCAAAATTCTGTTATGTTTGATGCAAACATAACATGAAAATTCTGTTATGTTTGAGGAAAGCATTTAGAAACGAAATTCATTGAAATTTATTTTTTCAGTACTGAAAAGATCAGTTCAATTGAATTTCGTTTCTAAATGCTTGACGATATATCAACTTTGCATCAAACATAACAGAATTTGGAAGCTGGTATTATAGTAGAGTGCCAATCGAATCCTATCGTTCACCCCGTGGGAAATCGGAGGTAAAAAGCTGTGACATGGCTAGAATTGTTACCTACCATCTCCAGATCATGGATCCACTTGTCGTCAAAAAATCGTCCTGTGCGTTTGGGGGGTAGGGGGTAATTTATAAAAATATATGATTTTTTTTTTATTCGTGGAAAATATTTATGGGTTTCAGAACTTCCACCCTGTTGAATCTTGATTTCGAGAGACAAGTAGAACAAATTATATAAAATTTTGAAATTTACTAATTACATTACGATATATGAGAGAATCATATTTCAAACGCCTATAACTCAAAACTTGTAAATTCTCGTTAAATTGTTTTTCATATACCTCGCATTATCTCAGTAACTACAACGTTTATCAAAAAAATACTTCAAATAATGTCGATGCGCCTATGTTTCAAGATGCGAATGGTTCTTCGATTTTGAAAATCGAAGCATAAATAAGGAAGATATTGGGAAAATCATAATACAATGCAGGTAGTACGAAGGGCGGCGACTCACCGCTTTCATACCCCGATTCTCCCCGCAACGCCCGCAGCCGTCCTAGTACGATCACCGTAAATATGAATTACTGAGTGTTACAGTGTTACAGATTACAGAATAGTACGATCTTGGAATTCACGGGAGAAATGGAATTGATCGCTATTTTTCAAATTAACAGAAATTTATTTTAACTTGCTGTTTGATTGGAAGTGCCCTCCATTTATTTTATGAATGATTCTATCTCGAAAGTACATTTCTTATCCATCAGAGTAAAATGTCAACCATCTCATTCAAAAACAAATTGACAAATATCGAAACAAAACATGATGCATATAATATTGAAATAAAAAGAGGATATCCTTGTGGAAACTTGAAAAAAACATTATTTGATACCTATCGAATTGCGTTGTTGTGAATACACGTAAATACGATACAGTGTCCACAAGAACACAGAGCTACGATAATTTTTTTCGATGTCTCTTGATGAATCATTATTCCCAAACCAACGTGTTTCGGTGTGAGTTTTTTGAATTTCGAATTAGCGAGTATTATACCTTGACATCAGATACTCAACACCTTTCAATCCACTGAATCAACTTTATCGTGTATAAGGCAACTAATTCAAAAAAAGTTTTTTTGGTATCATATCCTTGTAAGGCTT